ACTATAGACTAGACTATAGACTAGACTATAGACTAGACTATAGAATAGACTATAGATTAGACTAGACTAGACTATAGACTAGACTATAGACTAGACTATAGACTAGACTATAGACTAGACTATAGACTAGACTATAGACTAGACTATAGACTAGACTATAGACTAGACTATAGACTAGACTATAGACTAGACTATAGACTAGACTATAGACTAGACTAGACTAGACTATAGACTAGATTATAGACTAGACTATAGACAAGACTAGACTAGACTATAGACTAGACTATAGACTAGAATATAGACTAGACTAGAGACTAGACTATAAACTAGACTATAGACTAGACTATAGACTAGACAATAGACTAGACTATAGACTAGACTATAGACTAGACTATAGACTAGACTATAGACTAGACTATAGACTAGACTATAGACTAGACTATAGACTAGACTATAGACTAGACTATAGACTAGACTATAGACTAGACTATAGACTAGACTATAGACTAGACTATAGACTAGACTATAGACTAGACTATAGACTAGACTATAGACTAGACTATAGACTAGACTATAGACTAGACTATATACTAGACTATAGACTAGACTATAGACTAGATTATATACTAGACTATAGACTAGACTATAGACCAGACTAGACTATAGACCAGACTAGACTATAGACCAGACTAGACTATAGACCAGACTAGATTATAGGCCAGACTAGACTATAGACTAGACTATACTATAGACTAGACTATACTATAGACTAGACTATACTATAGACTATACTATAGACTATACTATAGACTATACTATAGACCATACTATAGACTAGACTATAGACTAGACTATAGACTATACTATAGACTATACTATAGACTATACTATAGACCATACTATAGACTAGACTATAGACTAGACTATAGACTAGACTATAGACTAGACTATAGACTAGACTATAGACTAGACTATAGACTAGACTATAGACTAGACTATAGACTAGACTATAGACTAGACTATAGACTAGACTATAGACTAGACTATAGACTAGACTATAGACTAGACTATAGACTAGACTATAGACTAGACTATAGACTAGACTATAGACTAGACTATAGACTAGACTATAGACTAGACTATAGACTAGACTATAGACTAGACTATAGACTAGACTATAGACTAGACTATAGACTAGACTATAGACTAGACATAGATACTTAACTAGACTACTAGACTAGACTATAGACTAGACTATAGACAGACTTAGACTAACTATAGGACTAGAAACTATAGACTAGACTATAGACTAGAACTATAGAACTAGACTATAGACTAGACTATAGACTAGACTATAGACTAGACTAGACAGACTATAGACTAGAACTATAGACTAGACTATAGACTAGACTATAGACTAGACTATAGACGAGACATAGACTAGACGATAGGACTAGACATGACTAGACTAGACTAACTATAGACTAGACTATACCTAGCTATAGACCTAGACATAGACTAGACTATAGGACTAGACTATAACTAGACTATAGACTAGAACTATAGACTACAGAGACTAGACTATATACTAGACTATAGACCTAGACTATAGACTAGACTTAGCAGACTATAGACTAGACTATAGACTAGACTATAGACTAGACTATAGACTAGACTATAGACTAGACTATAGACTAGACTATAGACTAGACTATAGACTAGACTATAGACTAGACTATAGACTAGACTATAGACGAGACCATATAGACTAGACTATAGACTAGACTATAGACTAAGACTATAGACTAGACTATAGACTAGACTATAGACTAGACTATAGACTATAGACTAGACTATAGACTAGACTATAGACTAGACTATAGACTAGACTATAGACTAGACTATAGACTAGACTATAGACTAGACTATAGACTAGACTATAGACTAGACTATAGACTAGACTATAGACTAGACTATAGACTAGACTATAGACTAGACTATAGACTAGACTATAGACTAGACTATAGACTAGACTATAGACTAGACTATAGACTAGACTATAGACTAGACTATAGACTAGACTATAGACTAGACTATAGACTAGACTATAGACTAGACTATAGACTAGACTATAGACTAGACTATAGACTAGACTATAGACTAGACTATAGACTAGACTATAGACTAGACTATAGACTAGACTATAGACTAGACTATAGACTAGACTATAGACTAGACTATAGACTAGACTATAGACTAGACTATAGACTAGACTATAGACTAGACTATAGACTAGACTATAGACTAGACTATAGACTAGACTATAGACTAGACTATAGACTAGACTATAGACTAGACTATAGACTAGACTATAGACTAGACTATAGACTAGACTATAGACTAGACTATAGACTAGACTATAGACTAGACTATAGACTAGACTATAGACTAGACTATAGACTAGACTATAGACTAGACTATAGACTAGACTATAGACTAGACTATAGACTAGACTATAGACTAGACTATAGACTAGACTATAGTCTATAGTCTAGTCTATAGTCTAGTCTATAGTCTAGTCTATAGTCTAGTCTATAGTCTAGTCTATAGTCTAGTCTATTGTCTAGTCTATAGTCTAGTCTATAGTCTAGTCTATAGTATGGTCTATAGTATAGTCTAAAGTATAGTCTATAGTATAGTCTATAGTCTAGTCTATAGTCTAGTCTATAGTATGGTCTATAGTATAGTCTATAGTATAGTCTATAGTATAGTCTAGTCTATAGTATAGTCTAGTCTATAGTATAGTCTAGTCTATAGTATAGTCTAGTCTATAGTATAGTCTAGTCTATAGTCTAGTCTGGCCTATAATCTAGTCTGGTCTATAGTCTAGTCTGGTCTATAGTCTAGTCTGGTCTATAGTCTAGTCTGGTCTATAGTCTAGTCTATAGTCTAGTATATAGTCTAGTCTATAGTCTAGTCTATAGTCTAGTCTATAGTCTAGTCTATAGTCTAGTCTATAGTCTAGTCTATAGTCTAGTCTATAGTCTAGTCTATAGTCTAGTCTATTGTCTAGTCTATAGTCTAGTCTATAGTCTAGTTTATAGTCTAGTCTATAGTCTAGTCTATAGTCTAGTCTATAGTCTAGTCTATAGTCTAGTCTATAGTCTAGTCTATAGTCTAGTCTATAGTCTAGTCTATAGTCTAGTCTATAGTCTAGTCTATAGTATGGTCTATAGTATAGTCTATAGTATAGTCTATAGTATAGTCTATAGTCTAGTCTATAGTCTAGTCTATAGTATGGTCTATAGTATAGTCTATAGTATAGTCTATAGTATAGTCTAGTCTATAGTATAGTCTAGTCTATAGTATAGTCTAGTCTATAGTATAGTCTAGTCTATAGTCTAGTCTGGCCTATAATCTAGTCTGGTCTATAGTCTAGTCTGGTCTATAGTCTAGTCTGGTCTATAGTCTAGTCTGGTCTATAGTCTAGTCTATAGTCTAGTATATAATCTAGTCTATAGTCTAGTCTATAGTTTAGTATATAGTCTAGTCTATAGTCTAGTCTATAGTCTAGTCTATAGTCTAGTCTATAGTCTAGTCTATAGTCTAGTCTATAGTCTAGTCTATAGTCTAGTCTATAGTCTAGTCTATAGTCTAGTCTATAGTCTAGTCTATAGTCTAGTCTATAGTCTAGTCTATAGTCTAGTCTATAGTCTTACTTAAGATATTTTTTCACATTTTCATAAAATATTTTATTGGTTTTGTCTGAAATTTGGTATTTTTTTTATTATTACAATTTAATACAATATATTCATAATTACTTTTGTTTGTTAACCATTTCATTAAGTTTGTGACAAGTGCCTTTAAATTTTAGGTTTGTGTCTTAAGTCTATTGTTTTGCTTTTAATGTTGCCATTAAAATGTTGAAAGTGTTGGTAAATTTTAGTCTTTTATTATTGTTTATTTCATAACGTGAAATAACAGACAAATATTTAAAAATTTTATTTGTTTTTAATTATTAAAGAAAGAAAATATAATAATAATAATAATAATAAGTATGACAGTTGAATTAGTTTATGTTTTTAGTAACAGTTACATGAAGTAACTTGTGTTTATAATTAAATGGGAACAGGTTGATGAAGTCACAGTTGTTTAGGTTTTCCGGTGTCGATGACAAAATATATTTTTCAATTAAATTTAATTTTGGAGAAAAGTTAAGTTTTTGGTTTGTTTTGAGATTTATGCAAAAAGAAAGTGAAAATAATTATAAGAAAATAGATATTAGGTTTAAATTTTGACATGCTGGAAATTATTTATAAAAAGGTGATGGATAAAGTGTTTAGCATGTTTGACTACTATTGAGTTTGATGGGTATGGAATGCTCTCTGTTCTTCAACAGATGAAGATTGGCATCAAAACCATATGTTGCCTGAAATATGAAGAAAAGTCCCTTATTTTTAAGTTATACAGACAATTATTATGACCGTTTGATGTCAAGACTTTATTTGAACTTGCAAAACAGCTCGAAGCCAAATTTGTCAATAAACTACATAATATTACCGCTTAAGCTTTGACTGCAGCTTCATTTTTATTGCTATTTTTTGGCTTTCGATTTTAGCTATTGCTCTAATTTCCTTGTTTAAATAATTTTAAATTAATGATTGAAATTTGATTAGATATTTTACGGTTTTTAACATTTTTAGCTAAAATTAAAAAAAAAAACTAAACTCCCACATTAAAATTACCACATTTGTATTTAAAAGTAAAGTAAATTAATTTATTAACATTTGCTGACATAATCAATACTAGCTACATAATTAAAACACTAAAAACACACAAACAATTCGAAAACAATTTTTCAAGTTATGGACATAAATTAACATATAAATTACATATTTCATTTTCATTAACGAAAAACAAAAACCAAAACATCTAGATATTTTTTATTATTATATTATTTTAACAAAACTAATTTCGTGTTTGTTTTGTTTTAATTACAGATCATTTAACACGAAACTACTGTGGAGTGGATTTTGCTCAAGTGATTAAAATTTGAAAATATATAAAAATAAGTTGCACTCACGCACAGTGAATGTAACAGAATGTGCTCGTGAAATGCCAAACTGTGAGGCACTGCATCTGCGTAAATTTCCAGCAAGAAACGTAATTACCAGTAAAAACACGCACTAATTGTTCAAATTTAAAAATAAGTGAGAAAACTGTTACTGTTGCTTATTATTATTTTTTTTTTTTTTTTTTTTGGCAAGATACGAGCATTCAACTTAAAATATAATAAAAAAAATAAAAAATTAGAAATTATTCACCTTTAAGTGAAAATTAATTGAACGTTGAAAAAAACACACAGAAAAAAAAGAAAATTCATACGTGAGTTGGAAACTTTGCCAATTAATTAAAAAATAGCAAAACGATTTTCTACTTCAACAAACAAACAACAAAAATCACTTGACTAAATGCTTAAAATAAAAATAAAAACAAATTAACTTATTTAAATAACAAATTATAACCAAAGTCCAAAGGAAAACAATAAAAATAACTTAAATTTTCTTTAACAGCAACATGTTCATTAATTCATGTGGCATGCAACCGTTTAAATGTTTTTCAAAAATATAGCAAAAGTACTTCAGCCATCAGCAGCAGCACCTTACCAAACGAATCAATCACAAAAAATCCAAGAAAAAGTTTAGTGAAATTTATATTCCAAAAAAAAATAAAATAAATCAATCGCCAAGTAAAATTCAATTTGTTATTAGTGTAAAAAATTAAATAAATTATTTTTTTATTATTAGTTAAAAAAAAGTCAAAATGTATCGTCCAAATTTCTATGAATCTACATGTTTGCGTTGTAGTGAGACTGTTTATCAGGTGGATCGTGTGGGCCCGTTAAAGGATTTTACATTTTTTCATTCGGGTTGTTTTAAATGTGTACACTGCGGCACAAAATTAACTCTCAAAACATACTACAATAATCAACATAAACAGGATGATAAGGAGGTAAGTTTGAATGTATTAAATATGAGAAAAAATAGTCTACATTAGAGCTAGATGGAGCCTTTCTTTGATTTCTATAAATTTGTTGGTTCGGTTCAATAACACAGGCCATCGAAACCCAAGTTAAAACTTTCTAAACGATTGAGCCGTACTCATTCCGGATTTTCTTCATCACATCTGGGATTTGAGGTATCGTGTTCCCGAATTTGAAAAAAAACGAAATTTCTGGCCCTTATTGAGACGTTATAATAGCGCCAAGACAACTTTATTTATAAAATATTGTATGCCATCCGAGAATCCATTATGTCAAATTTAAAATAAAGGCCTAACATCTGACATATCTTCTTTATTCTTAGAAATATCATCACCTTAATCGTGAAAACTTGTAGTTTGCGGTATATTCATGGTATTTATGCCCTACACTACAGAGATACTAACCAATCTTTATCAGTGGCTACGTTTAAGCCGGCTTAACTTTTGAGCCGAAAGAAGTTGGCGGCGGCGCGGCTTGCAAAATATTACCGCCGGCCAGCCGCCGCCGTTTTGAGCCGTCTCGGCTTGTATCTCTGCTACACTACTATAGTGCGGAGGGTATTATGCTTTATAAATATTGTTTATAAAGAACAAAAATATTAAATCCACAACTATCTAAAAATATTCCAATCGACTCCAAATTACTTTTTGATTCGACTTAACGATGTCTGTCCGTCCGTTCGTCAAATTCAACGGATGATATCTCAGAAACTACAGCAGATTTTTAAGCAATTCAAAAAAATATCTTCATAAGAAAATTGAAATGTATAAGTTTTTTTCTATAAAATGTTCCAAATAACACAGTATTTGTCAATTTATTGTTATATAAAGGTGCAGAGAGAAGATGTCATGAAAAAAGATATGTCAGATGTTAAGCCTCTATTTTAAAGTTGATAGAATAGACTTTCATACAACTAAATAAATAAATAAATAAAGTCGTCTTGGCACTTATATAACGTCTCAAAATGAGCGTTTTTTCAAACTTCAGTACACAATATCTCAAATCCCAGATGTAATGGAGAAATTGGGAAGACTGTCGGATGTGACACTTCTCATCATACTTACTGGTTTGCATCCTTAGTCGTTTTTTTTTACCAGTATTCAAGGGAAGACCTTGCCTATGCAGTACATTGTGTAGGAACCAGGGAAATAGATTGTTGTAGTGTTTGTAACATTCCTTTTGAATCTAGACATCTGCTGAAAGTTTTCAACACATGCAGACAGTACTGCTAAAGAACATGTTTTCCCTCTAATACAATCAATGCGATCCAATTGACTACTAAAGGCTATGCTGTTAAGAATAAACGAGTTTTTGTGTATCGAGTATCGGGAACAAAGTTCTGTTATTTCAGGAGAAAACATTCCATTATTATACCGATAGAATAGTGAAACACTAATATGTCGCTACCACTGAATTTATCTTGAACTCGTTTGATGTATAACAACTCTTATAGAGCGATTTCTGAGTAGACACAATATAAATTGACATATGTTTGACATACTTAATAATTATCTTTCCTGGTCAGCCTGTGGCTTTCTTTATCAATTGGGCCGGTAAATGTTTGTACATCCCCTATAAGAGTCGGAATGGGAAAAATAGCATTATCCTTTACTCTTTTAACGAATTACCCAAAAATATACATAAGTACCCAGGTGAGCAGTAAGAACATTAGTACTAAGACGATGCTCGTAAGTTTTTTCTTATTACTTCGCCAAATTCTGAATACTTCCTCTCTGTATCTAATTGCAATTTTGCACATCTAAACAAATCTTTTGGCTATTCGTACATTTTTTTAACAGAACGAATGTTTTAAATTAGGATTACATATTCTAGTACAAAAACTTGCCAAGATATAAAAGTTTAATCAAAGATTTAACATTTACAAATCCATATGAAATGCAATAATTAAAATAGTCAAGGTGCTTTACATGAACACCTGCCGTGTTGGCCTTATTTCACAGTGATACTTTTACAACCACAGGATAAACTTATTAGACTACTCACCACCGCCTCCTTCTGCTTCTTACACGCCGGTGGCAATTTTTGTACATAGTTCTACCAGTCCATGTACAAGCACTTTGCTCAAGTACTCGAGCTATCTAGTCGCTGACAATTGTTGCCCCGTTACTTAACTTCCGAGATGCAAAAACAACACTTACGTTTACAACAACGCAGATGGGAAAGCCTCTGTTGATTCTGCACCTAGAGCTGTAATAGGTAGACCGAAATACGAATCCATTAAATTAGAAGAGGACTTGTTTCTACTCATAGAGAACGCACCGTAATAAATCTGGTATGAACAAAGTAAACCCTGAACATACCCGGATAAAGAATGAATGGTATCAAGATACCTAACATCCATCACCATTCAACTCAACAAACTTCTCATTCATCCGACACACTCACTCTAGGTAGAGTGAGATCCGCATACTCCTACATCTATCCCGTATCATATACATTTGATGCCAACTAATTTCCAATCTATATGTTGTCTCGCCAACAGTACTGAACTTATTCCGAACTATAGACTTTACAGTGTATTAATCTTTTAAACTACATTCTCGTCCTATATGCACTCCGAAGAGATGCAAAAACATCACTTCCGTTTACAACCTTGCAGATGGGATGGACTCTATTGAGTCGAAAATAGCCCATAGAGACGTATTCGGTAGACCGAAAGACGTATCCATCAAATATCACTTGTATAACATACTTTTCATCCATGACCCTTCAACCCAGCATACGTCTCATTCATTCGACACACTCATAAAGAACAATATCCGACACACTCATCCTGTATTACATATATACATACATATAATACCAACTCATTTCCAACGCTTAGTCCCACAGCCACTCCTCTGCGGGGTGCCGAAGTCAACAGCGCCGAACTTATCCAGAATTATAGATTTTACAGTGTATCAGTTTTTTAACTGACATTCTCTTCCACTCGAGTTTGGGTTTAAACCACAGCCATTCCTTGCACCCCGAAGAGACTTCTCCAATAACCGAGACAAGACATAGTCCGAAACTCTTCCTTGTGTGCTACAGGTTCCTGTGGTACCATATTATGTGGTTCTCTGGTTAAACCCCAGGTCAAATCATTTCAAGGAAAGTCCAAGGATACATTTGACTCTACCACTTTAGAGTCCCGGCAGAATTAAGGTAGTGTTAGCAACTATTTTCCCCGGATTGCAATAACATCAAGATGTGGAAGATCATCAAGGTAACATGTGGGCTGGGTGGGTCTTATACAGAATTTTGCATATTCAACAACAAAATACTTAATCTGAAATCTTTTAAGCTCGGTAGGTGTTAGAACTATTTTAACATTAATCGCCGAAACAAATATAGTGGAATAGATGACTAAATGTCTAGCAATTTTCAGAATAATACTTTCTTTAACACCAAGCTTTAGTCATTAACTGGCACATGCACAGAATAATAATTTAAATTTTTCATTGTTCCTAAAATATTGCTATTTTTAAAATATACTTAATAAAGTAAATAGTTAGAACTAAAAATAATAAAGAAGGCAATAATTTAAAAGAAAAAAATTCTAAAATAAAAAGTCAAGAACACCTCACAAAAAATTCCAGCAAAATTGACTGCATAATATGTAGGTGAATTAGTTTCAACGTTGTTGTTGTTATTGTAGAATGCCTTAAAAACGTGAATGAATGTATGTCGATGTCTGTATACTAAATAAGGTTGACGTTTGATTAGACCTGTTAACCGGCTACATTTAAGTAGAAATAGAAATAGTAACAATAACAACTTAGAATACAATAAAAAAAAAAACAACTACAAAACAGCAGCAGTGATGAAGAAATGAATGAATGAATAAATGAAAAAAGAATGAACAGAGTTTTGTGTGTAGTTTTTATAGAAGAAAAAAGGCGATACCATTTAAAGCTTTATGTAACTATGGGTATACTTACGTATAAAAATATATACGTAAGTACACATACATATCTTCATATTTATATATGTATCTATGTGCGGATGTACGAATGTGTATAATATACATTTTTACATTGTTTAAAATTATATTAGGAGCATTCAGAAAAATTAACGAAATTGAAATCTTCAAAAGTTCCAATTCTTATACAAAGCCAGGAATGGACACGAATGACCTGCCGTGTTGGCCTATCTCACGGTGGCGTTTTTCATCCACTGGGTGAGCAAAAATATAACGACTCACCACTGCTACTTTGTGTATCTTACACGTATATGGATGCCGGTCCATTATACGCGCACTTTACTCAAGTACTCGAGCTATCTAATCTCTTGCCATAGTAGTCCCGTTGAGGAAGAACAGGTGTCATTAGCAAGCTCAATCTAACCCCGATAAAGGAAAAACCTTATATGTAGCTCAACCACACTACTGAGATGGCTCTGTTCGGAAACAGCACCTAGGGGACGTAATTGGTAGTTCGAAACACGGATCATTTTAATAGACAAGACTTATTTCAGTGGCCACAAAAACCCACTGTGATAAGTTGAGCATGTTTTAGAGTAAACACACTCAACCATGAAGGAAAATCGCCGATAAATTAAAGAAAGCGCAGTGACGACCTTGCACCACAAATCCGCCTTGATAAACCATTATATTGCACATCATAAGCTACCACTCCATCCGTCAAATCCATCAATTACTCCATCCGCTCTATCGAATCAGAGTATATCAGAAAACACCCAATCTTGGCATTATCAGCTCAAATCCAACATTTTATTAATCCACAGTCATGCTCTGTACTTTGTACCGCTCCTAGCATCTAGGAACGATAACAGAAATTCATCATGAAAATTATTTTTCAATCATTAACTTTGGTTTAGATTTTCTTCACTTCACTCGGCATAGAATGGACTGGTAGTTATAAGTTTAGGTTAGGTACAAAAGAAGATGTACATATATTTCATTGAAAATTTTGGTGAATAAAACTTTTAAATTGACCCTACAATATTTAGATCTAACTTTGATGTTTCAAGCTGAGTTGACTGAATCCGTTCGTCCAATTTTGCAATCCTATCAATTCAGAATTTGTACTATCATACTAAACTCAGACTTGCTAATTCTGAGGAGGTATCTCATCTTTGTGATTCCGTCCACCGTTTTTTTAATTCAAGTGGTCGTATGGGTTTCTTCAGCCATGTTTTTAATTCAGCCTTCATCGCATCGAACGGGTTTTCATTAATTAAGTTAACTTCCCTGAGGTCAACTCCTTTTATAGCAACTTCATTTGCACTTTCATTGCCGATTATTATCGAGTGGTTTGGTACTAACATAATGCAAAACTTACCCTAAAAAAGTTCTCTTACTGTCCAATACGGTCTTAATGCGGCCTCCTAATTGTCTTCTAGCTATCGGTGAATATGTAGATATTAACCTCTGTTGGGCCACATTTATTTCAATCCAGTTTACACATTCATTTGCACAGACTTCTGCCTTCTGTTGTCATTAGTTAGACGGTTTCTAGGTTTTAAATGTAGATCTTCCAACCCATTTTGTCTCCTAGCTTAAAGCTATTCGTGTAGCAAAGCAATCTGCACTAATGTTGCGCTTAACCATGATTTTCTATCTGAGATTAGTGCAGCAAAGTTGTCTACAAATTCTGTCTCTGGCATGAGATCAGTCACGTCTTATGTTTAAGATAAGAGTCGTTTGGGTATCAGTGCCGCCTCATATCTTTAAGTATGTTTCAACTGGGAAATATCCAGCAATGTCTTGGTTGATGTAGTGTTCATGATCCCAATTATACTAAATAATCATGTTCGCTGAATTCCTATGGTTCTCCATAGCTCACAGCACAAATGTAGTATCTTCTTGTTGATCTTACCCTTTATATGGTGTCTTCATTTAAACTCTCGGTCAAGGATTATTGGATCCATTTCCTTAGAAGTGCTATGATATCCTTTAGGATCCTCAGGACGCTGTTAATTGTAACTATTTTCCTAATAGTTATATTGTACATCTCTCACCTCCGCTGGCCATGTCTTTGATGGTCTTCCCCATCTTGGTGTTATTGCATTCCGGGTCAAAGTAATACTACAAATACCGCTAGTTTGCCGAGACTTTAAACAGGTGGGGTCAAATGTACTCTCAGCCTTTCTTTAAAATGATTTGACATCAGGTCGAACCGGTTAATCCGGTACTGCTGAATTTCGAACTTTGTCTTGTCTCGGTTATTGGAGACGTACCTTCGAGATACACATAGTTGCTGTGGTTTAAACCCAAATTCGAGGGAAGAGAATGTTGGTTAAAAGACTAATGCACGGTAAAGTCTATAATTCGGGATAAGTTCGGAGCTATTGCCGAGACACCAGATACCCCGTAGAGCAGTGACTTTGGGATTACTCCTTAGAAATGAGTTGTTTCAAGTGCATATGATGAGGAATGGAGTGAGTGTGTCGGATGTTTTTATCACTAAGAGTGTTGGATTAATTGAAAGTGTATTGGGTTGAATGGTGGCGAATTTCATTGAAAATAGAAATTTCCTTCCTTATCCGAATATGTTCAGGGTTTACTCTATTCATATCAGATGTACCACAGTGTATTCTCTGTGAGTAATAACAAGAGGACAGAGCTTAGATTGATCGAGTATTTGAACAAAGTGCTTGAACATAGACCGACAAGATCATCCACCTGCTAGTTAAGTCATCTAATAAGTTCACCCTGTGATTGTAAAACCACCGTGAAATAAGACCAACAGTGAAGGTGTTCCCATAACTCACAGCCTATCCATCTATTCCTTAGCATGTATAACTTGATTGCTGATTTAGATCCCATGAGAACATCTTTCTTTAAAAGTTTATTGAAAGAGAAATGTTTGTGTCTTAAGTCTTTTGTTTTCGTATATGTGGCCCATACTACAATAACGTACGTTCGATATTCAAACCTCGACTAATGGTTTGCAGCGTTCAATATTGATTATTTTCCTGAACATATATTTCAAGGTTAAGTTTAGAATGTACAGTTGATTTTTATCCAAATTTGCAACATAAACTTTTGTCTGACCTGGTATAATAGTTAGTAATAAGAGCAAGAGTGTCACGATTGCAACTAGAAACTGTAGTTCAATAAATAATATTTTTTTAGGCAGGTCTAATATCTATTACTATGCTACGCTCAAGAAGTTTTAATAGAAATTACAAAATGCATTCCATTTATACTTAGTTGCCAGCCAGCACTATTTTGAAAACGCAAAATACTTTAGCAAATTATAAACAGAAATCTGTATAAGGTAAAACAGGAAAATAGATGAAAAAAGAAACCTAAATATATAGCGTGTAGCATAAAACAAAAATTAAGTAATATTTATAAAAAAATTTATAATATTTATAAAATTGTATAATTTTAAAATTTACCTTCATTTCATTTAACTATAGGTTTACTGCCATTCACATGTACCAAAGAGTGGACCTGGTCATTTGGATAATACATCTGTGGGTATAAGACAAGCTTTAAATGCGCCACGTACAAATAAATTTGTTAATGAACAAATACGTGGTGCACGTTCTGAAGTTGATGGTGAGTTAATAGATCATTAGTAAAAATTTTAATTAAAACCAAAAATAAACTCAAGTTTAAGATCTTTAGAATAAATACAAAAAAACACCTGTCAACAAAATATTTTAATTACAATTAACCTTAAACTAGTATGTTTTGTATTAATTGTTGTTTTTATTTCTTTTCGTTTTTCTATTGGTCTTTATATACTTAAAGGAAGTTTCGGTTCAAGACAATCAACACCAAATGGTTATGGCAGTCGCGAGGTGAGCTCACCATCACAGAATGATTCCGATTACAAATATGGACGTTTCGATGCTAGTGCGCTACATATTGCACATGCTCTTAAACAGACTGAAATACAAAAGGCCTATAATAAGGCGAGAGAAAAACCAATTGATTTCTATTTG